TTATTCAAATATATAAATGTTTTTCTAACCTGTAAAGAAGGCCTGAACTAGCTGCAGCTGAGCTTCGCCCTATTCTTGATGTTACATGATGTTCTTGCTTTTTTTCTGCCCGGTCCCCAGCCAAGTTATTGTATGTATATACTTAACTCTTTGGCTACTATAGAGACTGCTAACTACAAATTTTTAACTGATTTTTTGACAGACCTCTACCTACTGATAAGTAAAATTGTCTGGCATTTACAGACGGTAAATACTAAAGTAAGGTCCGTAATAGCCTCTGATGTTTCAGCACTTCTACACTTGTTCTCAATTTTTTTTACTAATTATATTTTATTTAAAGACTATTTACATTTTATATTTTAACTTTTTATTATCTATGTTTTAACTACTGGTATTTATAATATATTTTAAAAATATTTATAGGCTATATGTATTTGTATACACTATATTTAATAACTATTTTAACTGTATTAACAGGACATATTTTAAATATTTATTTAATATGTTATTACTATTTTTTAACTATTTTTAATCTATTTGGGCATTATTATATCCACTATTTATTATCTATTTTTAACAAGCTGGGATGTATTTTAACTATTTATTATCTATTTTTAAGCTATATTATCACTATTTTTGAACTATGTATTATCTATTTTTAAACTATATTATCACTATTTTTGAACTATGTATTATCTATTTTTAAACTATATTATCACTATTTTTGAACTATTTATTAGCTATTTTAAACTATATTATCACTATTTTTGAACTATGTATTATCTATTTTTAAACTATATTATCACTATTTTTGAACTATTTATTATCTATTTTTAAACTATAATATCACTATTTTTCAACTATTTATTGACTATTTTAAACTTAGTTGAAACTCATTTCAACTATTTATTACATATTTTATACCTATATTGTCACTATGTTTTAACTATTTCATACATATTTATTAACTATGTCGAAACTATATATTTTTATTAATTTCCTTAAATAGCTCTATTTTTATCATATTTGAAACCTATTTAATTTCTATTCGAGTACATCAATTAAATATTTGTTTAGAAATATATCATGAATAGGAAAAAATATGGTTCCACTTGGATGGGAAAAAATAGCTTTTCTACCCCAATTTAAATAGGAAACACCTCGAAAAAAAATAATAGTAAAAATAGGAAATAAATACTTTGACAAATAGCAATTAAATAGCCCAATAAAATAGGAATTAAATAGCAATTAAATAGTGTTTGATTCTACAAGTGACATATGTCACTCCTAACTTTTAATAGCGCCGTCTCTGTGCTGTGGTTCTGTCTATAGGCTGACTGCAGCGATGGATACAGACTATTTGTCATCATATGCTGGTGAATTTGTGCAAAGACAGCCCTCTCTGTGACCTTTGACACAAATGATAAGTTGTAAGTTGCTAACATGTGAAAGTGCAATTTCTGGAAGGAAAACAACTGTCAGAAAGTAATGGAAACATTTAGCATCACATACTGTAATTACAATACTGTAATTAGTTGAAATTAGTTATTATTAGACTGCTTAATTAATTAATGATTACGCACGGTCTTTGGCTAATTACTTCCAAGTCCTTAATTAGAATATATCGATTAGTTATTAGTATCAATTACGTCTGCTTAATTATTACGCACGGTCCTTGGCTAATTACTTCCAAGTCCTTAATTAGAATATATCAATTAGTTATTAGTATCAATTACGTCTGCTTGATTATTATGCACGGTCCTTGGCTAATTAATTCCAAGTCCTTAATTAGAATATATATATATCAATTAGTTATCAGTATCAATTACGTCTGCTAAATTATTACGCACGGTCCTTGGCTAAATAATTCCAAGTCCTTAACTAGAATACATCAATTAGTTATTAGTATCAATTACGTCTGCTTAATTATTATGCACAGTCCTTGGCCAATTAATTCCAAGTCCTTAATTAGAATACATCAATTGGATATTAGAACGCACGGTCTTTGGCTAATTAATTCAAAGTCCTTAATTAGAATATATCGATTAGTTACTAGTATCAATTACGTCTGCTACATTATTGTATTATTATCACAAAATGGATTCATCTACATTTCAATGCACGAAATTGCTGAGCAAAATCAGATAACGAAGAAGTATTTTATGCCTAAACCATAGTCAATGAAGATATGATCTGGAGAGAGTTTCAAATTTGTTCCATTTTTTTGTTTATTTCTATGTTAATTTGTGCACGGTCGAGAGATTAATTTTTTGGCATAGCAGTGAAGCAATCATCCAATGGCACACTCAAACGTACAGTGGAAATATTAACAAACAAAAGTTGATAAGATTTATTCATAGTGAAGTTGTGTTTACAACATAAAATCTTAGTTCATTGTGGACACTTTGAAATTTACGGCAGACCATATCTTGATTAACTATGCAGTGATAAGACATTAGAATCCAGTTTCCTTCTGATCTGTGTACATATTTTGTGTTACCTCATTTAAATGAGCATATGAATGATCATCAGTTACTTCCCCAGGTTTATTGAGAGCTGTATACGTCGAGTGTTCATCGTCTACTTGTTCATAATTGCCGATATCATCATAAAAATATTGTGGATTACTTACTTCATTGGTCTTCTCCACATTTGCTTCGGTGCTTGATGATTTGCGTCGACGATTTTGACAGATAAAATATAAAGCGATAATAGCACCTAAAATGACCACTAATGCTGCTAATGCTATCATTCCAAAAAGATATTTTTTTCAACCATCATTATTGTCGTCCGTATCTGGAACGTCACTTGGAACTTGATCTGAAACTTGACCTGAAATTTGAAGTAATATTTCAAATTTTATCGCATTTTGATCCAGTCCTCGACTTCGCTTCAAATGTCATGAAATCACATAAATCACTACTTAAAGTGAGGTGAATTAATTTAAGTATCAAGTATCAAGTATTATCATGTGAGCAAAATAAAGCAATATATAGAATTATTGAGTTTGAGATATGATTAAGAACATCCTCATGTATTAAATAATTTACAACATGTCTGTTATTAAATAAAGTTTGAAAAGCAATATTATACCTGCAGTGTATTTAATAAAATTTGTGACAAAATATTGTTACTATAAATTCCTATTCCAATCTGCTTTTATTCATTTTTATTGATTTTCTCAGGACTAAACTTACTTAACTAACCCAATGATCAACATCAAATTAAATTATATGGAAGAAATATACCTGTACCTTCACTCGTTTTTGAAGAAGGACTCCAGTCAGTGGAATAATAATCACCCTATGGTAAAGAAGGCGATAATTTATTAATTTATTGATCTGTTTAGCCAGCTACACATTGATGTTATAACGTATTGAGGGAAATATGTGGCAGTACTATTTGCTCGTTTTTGTTTTTCTTTTTTAACCCTCGTTTACACTTGCAATTTTTGTTGCGATTTTCTTCGTTTGATGAATGTGAAAGAATGGATGAGTTATGAATATTCAGATACTCAGAACATTCTCAACTCACTTATTCGTTCACATCAGTCAGAAGAAAAAAATCGCACTTAAAATGCAGCAGAAACTGTTAGAGTAAACTCAAATTTGCCCCCATTAGTACGCTTCAATCTACCCTTTCGTTTCCCTGAACTTTTTGCTGAAATGCCCACTCAATATCTATGGCAATATGGCCGTCATTGGCTCCATAATCCAGCCTGGTTTGGAGATCAGTGCTTTCAACTGAAAGTTTGCTGTGCCCCCTCCCCCCACAATATCATACCATTTCATTGATAATAATCCTTTGAAAAATAATATAACTAGTGCCAGGCTCCAACGGACCATTAAAATAATCACTTGTAGTTGACCGCCGTTTTCGTGAAGTTGGATCATCTGTATTTCTGCCATCACCAAGTACAAACATGTTTCCATCAACACCGCTGGATGTAACTACTGCAGCAATATAAGGTTTCCAATTGGTCGAGTTTTCTGCCTCAACATACGTCACCAACTCGCTGTTCTCGTAACTGTCAGATGATGTAGGCTCTTTGTCGTCTTTTAATTTAAAAGCCACCACGTACAAATATCTATAAATCAAATTTTGCCTTTTTCATATAAACCAAGTAATATATTATACCATGTATTTGTCTGCAACACCATCAGAGAGTCAAATATTAATATACTTACACAAACGTTTTTGATGGAATTTTCAATGAAAATGTGAGTGTACTTGATGTTTCAGCTGTGGCCTTCTCAGCCGGTCCTGCAGGAAAAAGTAAACTGTTATCAACGGTATTCAGCGAAATTATGATATTAGTTAAAAAAAGAAGAAGTATTGCCTGAAAATTTTCCTTAAGTAAAGGTGAAATAAGAAAGGATTGAGAATTTTACCTCAGTAAAAGTAGTGCTGAAACAAAATATAAATTATCAAACCATTAAACAACTTAACAAATGACAATTGATATTAAAATACTCATTAATAACTCATGAAGAAAATTCAAAAGAAATGAATGTTTAATCAATGTTTGTAAATCGGATAAAGATTTGTCCTGATTTACGTAAACTTCAGCTTTGATTTTCTAGGCTTAGACAATGTTTATTTTCAAAATTACTTCGCCAATGAACTCGTAAGATGGGTCGTATTTTAAGGACGTTAAACATTCGCATCCGATCTTTATCTGATATACAAACTCTCGCCTTCGCCTCGAGTTTGTATATCAGATAAAAACCGGCTGCTCATGTTTTGGCTAGTACACACAAAGCAGAATATGCAAAAACGTAAAATAAAGATTTTTCAGATTCGGAAGTAATGTTGACTGTCTTATCCTTTTATGCATGTGTTAAATACAATAAACAATTCTTTACCAAGACGACATAAAATGACTGAGCCAAACGGTAAGTACAAAATTCAGAGAAGACATTTTCTAGTAGGATCACAAAAAGGATAAAGATATATATGACATGGGTGTTGTACTTACTTCCATTCGTAAAAAATCCTTTACTTTCACTGTAGTTTCCATGACCAACATTAGTACTTGCAAGAACACGAACAAAATATTTTGTTGATGAATTCAAATTTCCGACGAGCCATTTTCTTTCTCTTGTAGTGAATGTCTGAAAGCAAGGCTCATTTTCTGAATGTGAAACACACGCTTTATAACTGATAATGACACCATTTTGTTCGGTTGTGTCAGGAGGATTCCAAGTGAAAGATAATGACGATGCACTTCTTGATGTAGTTCTGATGTTCAATGGAAGACCGCTCGGAACTAAAGTGTATAAATAAACAGACGTTTTTATTTAAATTTTATGTATTAACTGCAGTAGACATTTTGAGTGTACAAAGGAACCATGTTTTCCTTGCAGTAAAACACATATATTTTACCATTCACCTTCTTCAGATGTTAAAAACGAACTAATACTCTCTTCACCCAAACCACAATAATCAGTTTAACGGAAAACAAGACAATCTCCTACAAAATATCTGATCTAATTAACTTTCATCTAAATTCAGCCAAAATTTGATCGATTTGATCTTTAGCTTGGTCTACTGCGCGAGCTAATGCCAATAGTTCCACAAAATTTCGTATTACTCGTTTGATTGTTTTTGAGTTATCCGGCTGACAGATAGACGGACGTTAAAACAAACCTATCAAAGGTAATGAAGTGTGTGAGAGAGAGTTCATAGGATTACTTACTCCCACTCGTAAAAAATCCTTCACTTTTACTGTAGTTTCCATGGCCAACTTTAGTACTTGCAAGAACACGAACATTATATTTTGTTAATGGATTCAAATTAACAACGAGCCACTTCCTTTCACTGGTGACAAATGTCTGAAAGCAAGGACCGTTTTCGAAATATGAAACACACGCTGTATAACTGATAATGACACCATTTTGTTTAGTTGTGTCAGGAGGATCCCAAGCGAAAGACAATGACGATGTACTTCTTGATGTGGTTCTGATGTTTAATGGAGGACCGCTTGGAGCTAAAGTGTATATATAAACAGATATTTATATTTAAATTTTATGTTACTGAAGGAGAGATTTTGAGTGTATAGACTATAAAGGAACCATGATTTGTCTGGGAGAAAAACACATATCTTTTAACACTCACTTTCTTCAGATGTTAAAAACGAAGTAACAGTCTCTTCACCAAAATCATATCTATTTCCAGCAGCTACAGATATGTCATAAGTAGTATACGGAGTGAGATTATTTATTTTATATTTATTCACTTTTCCTGTGGTAATGTTGAAGATTAAAGAGTTTTCTTTCTTCAGCTCAATCCAAAAACGTGATATATATGCATATATCCCATGATATTTAGGATCTAGCCAAGATATTTCAGCATTTCTAGATGTGAAATTAGTAACCGTGAGGTTTGTTGGCTTGCCTGGTTCCCTGGCTATAAGAAAAAGTAAAAAACATTATTTTTAAATGTGTAATAAATTATTGGGAAAGGAGGATCGAACATAGCGACAAAAACAGCACTAGCGGCGGAACAGTTTTCTT